ACTGAGGAATTTCAGCCCCTGCGCTTCTACGTGTCTGTCTGCCTGAGTGCCATGCGTCCCATGTCCTTGGCTCTTGGCTCCAAGCTGAGCACTCACGGGGCCCAGAGCCAGGCCTGAGGAGCCACGACCTTGCTCGGTGCAGTCTATGTCTGAGGCTTGCCTGGGCAGTACGCAGCCCTGAAGCTGGGGCACTGGCCACATGATGTAGCTGGATGGCATGGTCAGTCCTGTTCCTGCCACCCCTCTCTTGCTCAGGAGAGTGGTATGTGATTGAGCCCGTGGGGTGTGTGCTCTGCTTTCCCAGTGCCTAGGCCCAGAGTTTCTGCCTGGCCACAAGCCCCTGACCTCTTCATCCAAGTGAACCATGAGATCCTTGTCTGCCTTCACCTCATGCTGCTGCTCAAGGCTCTGCTGGGAAAAGCAGGGGCTGCCAGCAGATAGGGAATGTGCCCTGCTTCTGACCTTCACTTCCCTGTGGCAATCCTGGCCTCCAAGACTTTGATGCCACCCTCTGAGCATTGCACAGCCTAGCACACTGGCAGCAGAGCTCAGACCCCGGACAGGACCATGAGCATCCCATCCTCTCTCCGAATTACTGGCTTCTAACTTCCTCTTGGGACAAGAAGAATTCTTATAAGGAACTTGCTGCAGGAAACAAGGTGCTTTGATCCCATAAAGGAGGTGGCCCCCATGGCACTGGAAGGATGCCAGCCCTTGTGCAGCAGAGTCCAGGGCTCAGGCAGTGGCTCAGGAAGGCAATGCTCAGTCCCCATCACCGCTGTCCCGTGGATGCCTGCATGCCTCCTGCCCTTTCTGGGCTTATTCCTTCACTCTCTACACTTCCCATCAAAGGGGCACAATGAGGAGAAGTGTCCATTTGAGGGGAAAGGGCTTTGAATTCCCTGGGGCCAGAACAATTTGGATTTGTCAGCTGATGGAGAATTTCTGGAATGAACTGGAAGCCCTTTGCAAAACTATGCAACAGTTTACATTGGTCATGTGAAGTGTTTGTCCAAAACAGAGCAAGTTAAAGACCATATTCTTTTCCCACTGGGGCCTGTGGATAGTGGATTTAAAGAAAAAAACTATGAAGTCTTCCAAATAAAAGAGACAGTCCAGCTCTGCTCCATGCACTGGCTCCTTCCTGGCTCCTGGAAAGAGCCAAGCGTGGGAGCAGCCACACTGTGTGGACTCACAGTTCCAGGTGAGCTTCCTACCAGGACGTCCTGGGCCTAGCTCCTTCATCATGAAGACACATAAAAGTGCCCTAGGGAGACGCCCTGCCATATCTGTCTTCTCTGCTCTCCCTTCCTTTCCTGGTTTCCTAGGTGCTCAATAAAGGTGCGCTGTATTGAACTGAAGGAATTCGGACCAAGCCTTCTTTCTGCGTATGTGTCTACCCTGACTCCCAGATCTAACCTCTGAAACTTTGATCCTACAGTATGTGTGGCCAAATTTGGCAAAAAAGCCAAGGTTGAGCACAGCCTGGTGCTCTGGACTCCAACGTGACTAATTCATTTCAGTGCATAGCCTGAGGACTAGTGTGGGGCCTGAGGACAAAGGCAGCCAAAGGGCACAGAGGAAGAATCACTGGTGGGGGTCTGTGGGCAGCCTGGAGGGTGAGCAATTGAATCACCCTGATTCACAGAATCTCAGCATCAGGAGGACCATAGAAATCTTCTAGGCAGGGGCTCCGATGGGACGGCAGCAGTACCTCAGGGAGGGTAGAAAACAAATCAAACAGGCTTCTCCAGGCTGTTCTACTCCCCAACCCATAGGTGCAAACTCAGGTCTAGTTCAACTGCCAATCCACTGTTCAGGAGTAATTGTGCCAGGCTCGTGCTCAGTTCAGGAGGGACAAAGACAGAGCCACGTTTCATCTCAGTAAGAGGTGTTTGGTGTTATCCTCAACTGGAGAAGCAGGCTGGATATCTAGGAGGGTCAGGGGACCAACAGACGATAGAGCTGGTGTAGGTCCCTGGAAGGAGGCCTGGAGGCTGAGCCCAGGTTGGGATGGGTGGCTTTCCAGCCTGAGAAACACTGCTGGCTTAGGAGCAGGACAGGGCCCTGCACATGGGAAGCCGTCAGAGGCCCTCCAAAAGCACTTGCTGGTTTTGTTTTATAGTTTTTCTCATTTTAGGACTTTTTGGGTGGGGGCAATCGTTATAATATTATTTAAGGCCTGCCTAGATAAGCACCACTTTTTAACTAGACATTATCAAAACATAGCTAAGAAAAATCACTAGCTAGTTGCACAGGAAAGGGAAAACTGCACACTTCTACAGTCATCCGAGGGGTTAGTTGGCCAATCCTTTTACCGACAGTGTGTTTGTTTTTCAAGGCAATTTGTAAAACTGCTAACTCAGCTCACTGTGCCACCACCACTTCAGACTTTCTCTGCTAGCTCTGTGGCTTCCTGCTGGTTTATGTGGGAACTCTCTTTTCTTCTTTCCAGAGAGCTTATGGTATTTCTCATGTGCTTCCTCACTAACTAGTATCTCAGACAACAAAAGTATCCAAAACCAAAATACAGATTCCTATGAGTGAACGTCCTCTCCTAGAACAGGACTGTCTTCCCAGGTCAGGTCTCAGGAACCAGAGAAAATAATAAACACAGAATGAAATCAACAGGATTGCAAAAGAAGGACTGGACTCAGGCAAAACAGGGTGGTTTGCCCAGAACAAATCATCAGAAGGAACCAAAAAAACAGCTTGTTTTTCTCATGTGATAACCATATGCCACCTGCAGGAATGTTTACCAGAAAATGGATTAAAAGGCCTTCCCACTGTCACAATAAAGCCATGTGTTCACCCAGGATACATCTGGTCCTTTAGTCCCAGGGAAACAAAGCACAAGGCTTATCAACCTTCTGACCAGGTGATTTGTCGAGGAGCCAGCAAAGCACAATGTGTGCCCCCGTGGGCAGGAGGCAGGCACCCTGCAGCTGTGGAGAAGGAGCGGGATATCCTTCCCAGGTGCCCGGGTGGGCAGCAGCCCCCCTGCCTCAGTCCCCCAACTATGATCAAGCAGGAAGTGCTGTCAGAGCCAAGCCGTTCTAAGTATAAAAACAGCACGTGTACACGTACGGTATTTTGGCCCCACAAGCTAAGATTGCCTGGAAGAAAGCCAGCTGTTGACCTACCCCTGGACTCACAGCATGCAGGGTGGGGCTCTGCTCCCTCCTGGCCATGCTTTTAATAGAGATGTTTTCTGCAAACCCAGGAATGGGAATCCCCAAAGTTTCCTTTCCCGGGGAAACCAAAGGAATCAGAAAGCAAAGTCTCGGGCTTGGTGGACAGAGCCATTGTCGGGGTCCCTTTGTGTGAGATGGACCAGGGCTGTTACTGCACTTGTGACCAGCCTCTCTTGTGGTCTTGCCAAATGCAGCAGTGCTCCCTGCTAAAACGGAGCTTTTCCACGTCATGTGTGTACACCCTTCTTCTTAGAACGAGCTCTTCAAATACAACTAGGCTCAAGGGTACACTGGTCCCTGTGGGGTGGTTTCTCAGAGAAGCCTCAGCTTGGTGGAGGTTATAGCAGTGAAGGTGCTGAAAGCAGTTCAATTCAGTATATATTTGAAGACAGAGACACCAGAATTCAGAGTTGGATTGGGTTTGGATTTGGGGTGAAAAAAGACACAAAGTCAGATTTTTGGCCTGAGCAACTAGAAAGAAGGAGTTGCCATCAACTGCTGGGATGAAGACTGTTGAAGGAACAGGTTGGGTGAATGTCAGCAATTCCTCTGTGGTGCAGGTTAGGTTCAGGATGTCTGGCACACATGCAAATGGCAGCTGAGTAAACAATTGGATAATACTGTTTGCATCCCAGGGTCAGACTAGAGTTACCAAGTCAGGAGTCTTCAGGTAAACAGATGGTATTGGAAGCCATCAGACTGGAGCAGCTCTACAGGGGAATGAGGGCAGAGAAAGGAGGAGAGGTTAGATGACCTAACCCCTGCCAGGCTGGTGGAGGAGGAGGAGCTTTTAAGAGAGGAGAACCAGGAGAGATCATTATTAAAGAGAAACAAGGGGTTATGCTGAAAATCAGGAGACTCTGGTGCCAAAAAGAGCCCTCCCAATCCTTGCTCTTCCACTTAACACGCTGTGGGAACTTGAGCAAACTTCTCTAAGACTCGGTTTCCTTATCTATAGAGTATGATCACTCCCATCCTCCAGAGGCTTTTTTGTTGTAATTAAGGTGTTAAGCCCAAAATGGAGTCATTTGCCCCCGCCCCTCACAGCCTCTGCCCATGGGAAACCAAGACTTAGTTACAGTTTCAACCTATCCCAGGAATGTGGTCTTGTAACATTTGAAATTTCCTTAAGGGCACTATTGAGTTCATCCTCATGACAAAAACTGCCTTTCCTTCCCTCCCCACCAAAAATACAACATTTTTTTTTTCTTTCGCTAATAACTCTTTTTTCCACCCTCCTTCCTATAAAAACCTTTCATTTTGTACAACTCCTTGGAACATCTCTACTTCCTAGATGGGATGCTACCCATTCACGAATTGCTTAGGAAAGCTAACTGAGATCTTAAAATTTACCTGAAACTCATATAACACTATAAGTTAACTATACTGGAATTAAAAAAAAAAATCTTGACATTTACTTGGTTAAAAAACAACAACAACAACAAACCACCTTTTTTAAGCACGGGGGACCGTATCAGTAACAGTTTCGGCTCTCCAGAGTACCGCTTTATAATTAGTAAATGCTCAAAATTTATGGGCAGAATGAGGTCTAGGGGTTGGTCAGGCCGGTGCCGCCTTTCAAAAGCCCCCACTGACCGGGCTGCAGTCAGCGGCTCCGGAGGCCACGGCGCGCACACAAAGGGACCCGGCCACAGGTCTCGCGCTCCTCAGGTCCTCGGGAGGACTTCGGCGCGGCGGGAAAAGGAAACAAACAGAAGGATGCAAAGGGTTTCTTCTTTCCGGTGGGCCCAGCACCATAGAGGGTCGCCGCCGCCACGTTCCTAGAGCGGCCGCGCGGCGCCGACTGACGGCAAGGCCCGCACTTCCGGCGGCGCGAGGGGCGCCCAGCAAGCTAGCGAGCCAGGGTGGCGGCGGGCGGCCCGCTGCGCGGTGAGTGGGCTGGGGGCGCGCGGCCCGGTGCTCGGAGGCCGCTCGGGCGCTGCTTGGCAGCCGCCTGGCGGCGCAGACCCGGGTCCGCTAGAAAGGTTCGGCGCCGGGCGGGGGCGAGGGCGAGGGCGGAGGGAGCTGGGCGGGCCCGGCCTGCGAGGAGCGGCCAGCGGAGGCCTGGGGAGGGCGGAGGCCTGCACGGGAGCGCCTGTGGGGCGGGCCACAGTCCCCACGACGGCCGTCGCCCGGCGCTTTTCAGGACTAAATTCTTGGATCGGATGCGGAGGTAGCACAGGGCTGTTAGGAGCGAGCCGCAGATACGGACTCCTTTACGCCTCTGACACCCCGACGATGTCGCAGCTTTGTTGTCGTCCCAGTTTTATGTAGGAGAAAGCAGGTCCATTCCGGGTGTGCGCGTTCGCACGACTGCAGCTCCATCGTTCAGGTTTACCGTAACATCCGCACCTGCGGAGTAATTATGCTGAGCACCGGTCTCGGCGTTGGACGTCAGTTCGACCACCAAGAGGACAGGCTCTAGGATCAGGCTGCTAGGGGTTGGGGACCTGGCCAAAGTCGGCCTGCCTTTTCCTAGCTGTAAAATGGAAAGCATCGCATAAAGCTGCTATGAGAGTTAAAGGTTATAGAACAGTGTCTGGCGTACCACTAAGGCTACCTCTCAGTATGATTTCCTCACTGTAGTGTTCTAGGTGGATTGCATAGTCTCAGAGTTTCCTACCAGATCTGACTTCTGTAGCATGAAAAAATAAATTTTTTTCAATGTGTACTTCCCATGATAGCTGTGTTTTGAACATCAACACTATGTACCTAACAAATGTCTCCTTGAAACAGATATTCTGTAAATAGGTAAATATTCTGTAATAGATACTCTGCAAATATTGACCAAAGTTAATGAGTGGTGCTCCTTCGGTGATTGGTATTGTATGCAGTTTGCTCTTTCTGATACTTAACTGTAATTACAACACAGATAATTATTAAATATCCAAATAAAGTCCTTAGTACTACCAGGCCTGGAGTCTGAATTACATAAAAAGATGAAGGAAAGGCAAGAACAATGATATCATTTGTATTTTCAGTTATTTGTTTTATAAACTTTTAAGCAAAGACTCAGGGTAATTATTCCCATTTTGAAGTCTATTTCCTGACACAAGATGTGAAAAATAGTTTCAGTCATTTTATTACTTTCTTAGCCTAGCTTATCCCACTTTGTCACCTGTTTAGAGTTTATGACTTATTTGTTTATGGCCGTTATTTTAAATAACCTTATAAATAAATAAATGAAATTATTTTATTTGAATTTTTGCAGCATTTGAGTATTTTAAAACTTCTGTTTTTGCGTGTAAACTTATTTTTTTCCCCTCCTTTTCTTGTGTTCTACTCACCACCCTTTGTTTCTACTCAGTTTCATTCTGTTTTCCAGCAAAAATTCTTCTGATTTTTTTTCTTCTCCAGAAACAATTTTCTTATTTCAAATTTTCAAAGTATTGTCCTCTTTCTTGGGTCATTAGAATCTAAGGGGAAAAAACAAAACAAAACCAATAAGGCATCTTTTTTTTTTTTTTTACGTTTTTCTCATCCAGTATTACTGAATTGACTCATGGAAACTTGCCATTCCTTATAGGGTAGTCCTACTTTCAAAATAATGCTACAAAGTTAGAGCCAAGTCGTATTCATGCTGTGACAGTAGAATGGTGAAACAAGAAAGGATAAACAAAATTAATTTAATAAAGTAGTATAATTTGTCATCTCTTTCTAATTTGGATGCTTTAAATAGTCACGAGTAAGTAAGTAAGTAGAATTTTAACATGGAAGTAAATATTCTAATTTTAACATGGAAGTAAATATTCTAATCCCCAAATTTTGATTGTCTTTCAGAGTTATTTCTTACGATATTATGGTGTCTCCACCTTTTAATCCTTCAGTTATATACTCATCTGATAATGCCTAATGAAAATTTATAGTTCCCATTTATCACTTCTATTCTGTCCCAACAGACAAAAACTCCATAGGTAAATTTGGTCAAAATTTGGGGATATTTATTAAATTGAAACGCTGGGAATTATTAGAATTATTTTGCAAGTATTTCCCCCGCAGAATTGTTTTTGTTTTCATAGGTATCAGATACATTTTTAATTTACACAGGGATGCAGTTTCTGTGGGTTGAAGATTAAATAATTGGGTTCAGGTTGAATAATAACAATAAAGAGTGATCTACTTTGGCTTTTTTTTTTTTTCTACACAGAAAATTGAGCTACGTAGCTCTAGGAAGTGAAACTTCAGCTCAGAAGAAGAGAGCAGACTCTTAAGAATATATTTGGCTCATCACCATGCGGTTAGGAAAACCAAAGGGAAGTATTTCTCGGAGCTCGAGCCAAGGAAAAGCCTATGAAAACTCACGCAAAACAGGCCGGCTGCGGCAAAGATGGGGAATGACCGTTCGATTTGACTCAAGCTTGAGTAGACTGAGAAGAAGCCTGGATGAGAAACCTTATAAATGTACTGAATGTGAAAAGAGTTTCAGTCAGAGCTCAACTCTTTTTCAACACCAAAAGATTCACACTGGAAAGAAATCCCATAAATGTGCCGATTGTGGGAAAAGTTTCTTTCAGAGCTCTAACCTCATTCAGCATCGGCGGATCCATACCGGGGAAAAACCCTATAAATGTGATGAGTGTGGAGAAAGGTTTAAACAGAGCTCAAATCTCATTCAGCACCAGAGAATTCATACTGGAGAAAAACCCTATCAGTGTGATGAGTGTGGCCGATGTTTCAGCCAGAGTTCCCACCTTATTCAGCATCAGAGAACCCACACAGGGGAGAAGCCCTACCAGTGCAGTGAATGTGGCAAATGCTTCAGCCAGAGCTCTCATCTTAGGCAGCACACGAAGGTGCACAAAGAAGAGAAACCTCGTAAAACCCGGGGCAAAAATATTAGATCAAAAACTCACTTAGTGTCATCCTGGAAAGCTGGCACAGGTAGGAAGTCAGTGGCTGGTCTCCGCTAAGGAAAGGGTGCTGCTTCAGCCTTTAAAAATAAATAAATAAATAAAAGCTCTCTCTTTTAGAACTGGAGATATTTTGTAATAGAGCTCTTAAATACTGTATCCTTTCCTAGCATGGAGACATTGTAATGACATTGGGCTGAAAGAAACTACGAGTCCAACTGTTCTCATCTTTTTTTTTTCTTTTTTTTAATGTAACTTGGAGTACAAAAAACTGAAATTATGTTTTAAGAGAATATAAGATCTTTGACCTCATGTGATATTGCTTCCTGCATCATTTTGACAAAAACAACCATGTTTTGATGACACATGTAAAAGTATAGGTATTCTGATGACTCCTCAGCTTTAGGACTTTCTGTGGAAGGAGTAGTTAAAAGGGAGAAGAAGTTAATCCCATTAGGTCGGGGTTCTGCAACCGATGAGGAGATTTTATGTTTGTAAAGTTTTGTAGTATATTAACCACTGGTTTGTAAGTATGACTCAAGACTCAACATATTAACATGTATTCATGTTCACAGATTTTTAATCAACAAAGCCCATCCCTCTGTTGGCTTTTTGTTTTTGTTTCGTTTTGTTGCCCCTTCTGCTAATGGACAGTTATTAATTAAAGGAATTGAATTTCCCTCTTTTCCACTAAATTCTTAGAGATATTCTAGAAGCCAAAATGAGAATTGAATTAGACTGCAAGTCTACTCTTAGAAGCACGGTTCTTTGAAGTGGTGTTAGACTGTCTCTTGTTTTCCAGAAGTTGGGGTGGACTTACGTTGATCCATCCCCATGCCTTTGTCTTTTGACATTCTCTTATGCTCTGACAAACTGAGCTAGCCTTTTAGATCTACATGAATAAATAATTAAACCATATACCAACACACCTCAACTTGTTAATTAGAAATCTACAATTTACACTTCCCTGCTTTCCCCCTTTGAGAGTTTTAGGTAACACTGGTTATCTTAAACAAATGTTTAAGCTGGTAGCGAAAGTCATTTAATTCAACTGTTGGTGCATTTGTAGCTCCATGTGTAGATTTTGAAATGTAAGCTAACTTTCTCTGAGTTAATAGGAATTATTTTTGGAGTCTAGCATACATGTTTCTTCACTTTCATCAGAACAGTGCCAAGTGTCAGACTTTCTTATCAGCCTTCAGCTCAGGTTTTAATTTCTATTGAATGCTAACATTCTGATTTTTTTTTTTGTATCTTTTATAATCATACCAGTTCCTGCTGTATTAATGACAGTTATCCATAAAAATAAAACAAAATGGAATATTTTGCATACTACTATCCTCTGTTTATTCTGCTCCTGGGAAATGGTTTTAATGATATAGATAACCCCTAAAAATCACAGCTTTTGGAAGAATCATTTGATTTGCCTATTTTTTTATTTCCTCAAGCTTGAACTTTGCCTGCCTTCTGGCCTTGCATTTGAGTGCAAGTCATAGAAGATAGTCTCGCTGACAACAGTTCCATCCAAAATAATATCCACAAAGTGTTTTGTGAGTATGAGGTGATTGCAGTTATCTTTTACGAAAGACTTGATCTTTGACCACTTACCAAGTGTCCTATTAATCCCAAGCAAGTCAATTTGTAGCAGGGGCATGGCTGTAGGGCCATTTTGAGGTTCTATCATCAGTTTTATAGAAGTTTTGTGTCTGGACTGACTTCTGACTGAGACCAACACCACTTGAAGAATTTGCCAATTTTGACAGCATCCTGCAACAGAAAGACCTCTGTATATTGTTAGATTTCGTAATTTTATACTTTTAACCCAGAATGACTTAAGTGTTCTATAAAGTAAAGCAAATACTCCAGATTTTTATGTATTCCCAATTTGTGGTATGCATTTCTTCTTCAGAGGCCTAAAACTAGAAGCCAATAGGTAACTTGGTAGCCTTCTGTGGTAACTAATGCACTGTAGCAGCCTTCATCTCCTTTAATGAGCATATTAACAAGGGAAATACCTCAACTCTTTTAAGTCAAAGAATTAAAAGATGTGTTCTGCTACTGGAAATTGAGTTACAGGAGAATGTGAATCTGAGAGGCACTGCCTCTGAGTACAGTCTCCTTTGAAAATATGCTGCCCCTCAGTATTCTGCTAAATTTCCAGCATTGCTCAGGTTTACTAAACTGAATCCTTTTATTCCACTGACGGGCTTCTTAGGCAATCTCTGGATTGGGATTTACTTGGGAAGGAAAAAGAGCTCCAAGGTTTCTGTTTTTTGGTTCTTTTGGGTTTTTTTGTTGTTGTTGTTGTTATTTTTTGGTTTTGTTTTTAAGTATTGCTGAAATATTCATCCTACACTAATGAGTGAGGGGCGCTGTTAAATATCTTTGCCTGCCACATTCATTCAGTCATTTCGTAAGTATGGTAGAGATAAAACTGGTCAAGGAGGCCTTAGTTTAAGGAACTTGGTTAAATGAGTAGTCAAGTAGAGGAACAAGAAACTCGGAAAGCAAGCACTTTGGACCTCTGCCCAATGGTTCTCAATTTCAGGGTGCCTCAGCATCACCCAGAGGGCTTCTGAACACATTTCTGGGCCCGTTCCCAGAATTGCTGATTCATCAGGTCTGGTCTATAGCCAGATAATTTATCTTTCTAACAGGTTCCTAGGTGATGCTGATATGCTGGTCCACTTGAGAACTGCTGCTATAACCCACCACTGGAGGTGTGATGTGCTTGCATAAAATAGTGTCTACGTCAGATATAGGGTACTTGTTCCTTGGTAAGGGTGGGCAGGATTTAATGAGGAAGACAGCCCTGGGGTCAGCCTACTTAGGTTTGCACTTAATTACCTCACAACTGGGCAATTTGAATAATTGCTCTTGGGTAAATTGGAGAAGGTACCGTAGTTGAGTTGTAGAGGAAATTAAATGAACTAATGCAGGTAGAGAGCTTAGCATGGAGCCTGGGGCATTGTTTAGAATTCACTGATTAGCTTATTAGGTTGCCAGAGGCAGAGAAGCTATTATATGGAATCAAAAATTGTCAGTGACAAAAGTATTACTCCCAACTTGGTCCTTGTAGATACAAGTATTACAATGTATTACAAATATTACAAATGACCAGTGAAAGGGATGATTAGTTTTGCTTTTAAATAATGAGGGAATTGACTCTTCCCATTACTTTTTTGCTTATATAGCGCACATGCCCTCATTATTAGTTCTATAATTCTTAGATCATAAAAGGGATGACATTTATTAGGTTAAGGAATGGAAACCCAAAGGCTGTGGAGGCCAGGCAGCTAAGCCAGAGAGATGAGGGCTGTAAACTGCAAGGCATGTGCTCCTCTGAAAGATAACCTGACTCCATTTCAGCCACTTGTTGCCATGCAGAGATTCAGGCCCAGGCATACCAGCTCCTAATTTTCCAAGAGACACCAAAATTCCAGGTTTTAAGTCACAACCTTTCCAGCTTGCCACACGTGGACTAGAGTTTTAAGGATGTAAAACCTCTGTGTATGACAGGGTGAGAGAGCAAGGAGGGGAGAGGCAGAGCTACATGATGGAGTGGAAGCTTTGAAGCAGAGAAGAATGCTCAGGGAACAGCAAGTAGCTGCTTTATTGACAGTCCAGTTTCATCCAAGAAATGTGGGCTGGAATGGGCTTCTGGGAGAGACTTAAATATCAGCTTAGGAGTAAAACAGTTTGTTAAGATGAGTTGCATAAAGGTTTTTAGGGCATGGGTTGGAAGGCAATCATCCCATGAAACAGAACAACCATGTTGCTAGAAGAAAAACTCCCCCAGAAGAGACCCACTTGGCTAATTGGACCTACAGAGCTTCACTTCCTGCCTTGGGCCTGAAGTCTCATCTTGCATTCTGTGCTCCACACTGAGTGACAGCATCTCCAAACTGCTTTGTAACTCTCTTTATCCTGTTTTGACCATTACCTACTCTGAGAGGCCTCTAAGAAGTCAGCCTTGAATCTTCCCTAGATGCTCTTTCTTCAAACTGAATTGTAACGATCCATGTTTCAATCTCTCATTCTTCCTCTCTCCTACTAGACTGTGAGCTCCTGGCTTATAGTATTCATTCAAGTCCAAGTTTTAATGAAGAATGGCCAAGGGGGAAGTACAGAAAGAAGGTTAAAGAAAGACGTAAGGAGTTAGCTCTGGGGAGTTTCTAGCCTGGCTGTCAACTACCGTATCTACCTAGCTGGAGAGTCCCACCTAGAACTTTTCTTCCCCCGTCTGACATCTTATCCCCCTTCTTCAATCTTTCTGTTCTCTTGGTGGTCATTACTCATTGCATAATTTATTCTTTAGTCATGCACGGGGTACACACTTACATTTGTTGAGTGAGTAAATGAATGAATGAAAGAACAAATGTATAAAATGGCATCGACCTTTAAAGAATCAGAGATTCTTATGGTCTGACAGGACCTGGAAGGCCACTTGCCTCACCTGCTCTTAAATTGGATGATTATTTTTTAATGACCCAATTATCTTATGTTCTTTGAATTATAAAATACACATCACAGAGTCTATATCATTTTAAACAACTGTCATTTCCAACTTTTAAATGAGCCAATATTGTGTTTTTCACCTGAAAGCCAGATCTAGAGCATTTTAAGGACTTTGTGACTTTAAAACACACACACACACACACACACAGACACACACACACACACGTTTTCTTAGTATCGGTTTTGCGGCCCAGCATTACCACACCCTCCAAAATTGGAAAGTCTGGAAAGTTTTTGGAAGAGATTTTAAGTTGCTAATTTGGAGAGAATGTTTTTTAGATGATTTGAGACGTAGAGATGTGGGGCAAGGAGATCACTTGCTGTCACTGAGAGTTAAGAGGACTCAGAATAGTCCACGTGGGAAGAAATTAAAGTGGGATGCTCCCTGTATCTCTTCCTCTTATAAAGATAGTAGTCTTATTGGATTAGGGTGTCACCCTTATGACTTCATTTAACCTTAATTCCCTCCTTAAAAGCCCTGTCTACTAATACATTTACATTAGGGCTTAGGGCTTCAACATAATGAATTTTGGGGGGACACAGTTCAGTTCACAACAGATATTATTCCCATTGTCTGGATAAAGAAACAGACTAAGAGAGTTCAAGTAACTTACTCAAGGTCAAACAGGTCAAAAAGATCCATGGCCTTTTGATTGTCTCTTTTAAAAATCTTGTAACCCCATCCTAGATCATGTGAGATGAATGCATCTTTATGGCTATCAAAAATAAAAGTAACAGTCCTAACCCCCTTGACCTCAGAGAGGAGACTTGCCAGAATAGAATGACAGAATGAGTGTTGATTCTACTACACACAGCCTCCATCTCTTCTGGCTCCATGCCTGGCTCTATCTTAGTTGTGTAGACACCCATAAATTTGGATTTATTTGCCCCTCGAGAACCAAAGGAATCTAAACCTAGGTTCTGTTTTACATGTAGACCTCAGTGTTCAACACTGCTGTTCCAAGGACAATTTTACAAGTCTTGACCTATGGTTTTTCCTGAAGATTTGATAAAAAAAATAAAAAATGGTGGTCTGGGGAGAGGCAAAGGGCCGCCCTCTATCTGCTCAGAGCATTGTGAGATCATCTGTAGCAAAGTATTTCAGTGGGACCTAAGGTCTAATCAATCAGGTCTGGCCTCACTCTTCGCTGTAGATGAAGCATTTACTCTGGAAGTGAGCAAAAAACAAAATGTCATTGCTGCCCTCTATTGGCTGGGTCTCCTCATAGGCCAACAGGAGACCAGCCAGCAGAGGGACAGGATTACAAATACCAGTCCTCTTTCCTCATTTCATTCAATGAGCCCTCCCTTGTTTTCTCTAATGTGGAAAGCTGTATAGTTTATCAATGCAAGCTAAAGCCTGTATGCCATGTAAAGTGTTCCAGAACAAAGGGGACAAGGGTGAGTATTATTTACAAGCTCTCAGATATGGAAACAACCCAAGTGTTCAGGGATGGGCTTATTTTTCATGATGTCCTCATGGCTTTTTGTTTGAGCTATAGAAGGACCACATGTCATTTGCAGGGGTCTGCTTGTCTCGCTTTGTACAGGTCCCAGAAACATGTTTAGTAAGTGCTCTCAAGGAGATTGTCACCACGGATGCAAATCAGCAGATTAAAAACCTAGGCTCAGAAGTATCTCCACCCAATGAAGGCACCACATGGGGAAAGGAAATAGAAAGTGCTCAGTCACCAAAGTTTTCATTGTTCTAGGACACTGGGATTCTTGTAGTTTATAGAACTGTCACTGCATGGCAGCAAAGGAGATATAATGGAAACCAGACTGTAGTCAATCCGCATTCAACTTGTACTTTCCTC